CCTTCCAACAAACAATAAAAATAACAAATCATATTTATTATTATTTTTAAATAAACCCCAAACTAAAACTAGATTATTAAAACATCATAAAAGTTTCACTCAACAAACAAAAACACGTTTGTTTTATCTGTGATGCCATGGCGACAGAGTAAACAGTAAGGGAGTGTTTCCATGGTGACCTGTAAACAAACAGCTCAGAGAGAAAATGTCTGCAGAGAAGACGGTCGGTTTTGCTGAAGGAGAGGAGGACGAGGTGAGGAGGGCTGCCTCATCAGGACATCAGGTGGTCCAGAACCTCCCAGAACCGGTGGAGGACTTCCTGAGGAACTTCCTCCTCAGGTCCGGTCTGAGCCGGACCCTGAGCAGCCTGGAGGTGGAGTGGTACGGCTCGGTCCGGAGGGTCCAGGACGACGCCTCCTTCCTCCTGGACGCTCGGACCAACAGGGAGGTCCTCCTCGAGGAGCTGGACTCGGTCCGCTGGGACACGCAGCTGCTCCGGGAGGACGGGCTGAGGACGGCAGAGACTCTGGTCAGGGTCCAGAGGGAGAGGGACTTCCACCGGCTGCAGCACAGCCGGGTCACCGAGCAGAAGAACCGCCTGATGGAGAACCGCAAAGAGCTGGAGACACACCTGGAGTCCTGCAGGTCCACAGAGAGACAGCTGGAGGACAAACACCAGGGAGCTCTCAGGGACAAAACCCTCCTCAACATCCAGAGACAGAGGTCCCGACAGCACAGAATGAATCCTGATTAAAGATGTTTTACTAACAGATAGTCAAGAAGCAAATGTATTTATTTGCACTTCCTGAATAAATTTAACTCAAACATCATTTTGTTTTTTAGTAACAACTGAACACGTCTTTATATGTTTCTTTGTCAATAATAATATTTTATTAGTAAGAGTCAGGATTTAATGACTTTAGAGCTAAATATAAAAATAGACCCCCCCTCCCCACGGCAGGTTATAATGATCTTGGTTGATTGATAATACTTTATTGATCCCCAGGGGAAATTACAGATGGGTGGAACCAGGAAGTCCTTATTTGATCACAAAAAGACAAACTGACTTATTATAAAGTTTGTTTAGTTGAAAATATAAAAACAATAAAACTGCTCAGGTTGAGTTTGGCTTTCTGGTTTCAGAAACTGGTCCGGTCCTCACAGAGTCCTGAATCTATCAGTGTTTTAAGGTTCAGGAGCAGAAACCAGACCCTTTGGGTCCATCTGCTTCAGGACGGTTCCTGCTCACAGCTGATGAGGCAGTCAGCTGATGATGAGGAGTAACGTCCTTCATCTTCATCCTTTTCCTCCTCTTTCTGCCTCGGTTCTTCCACCAGGAGCTTCAGACGCTTCAGGTGCAGCAGAGCTCTGAGGACACAAAGAGTCCACGTTAACTCTGGCTTTGTCCAACGTTTGACCCATGATATGTCTGTCTTACTGTGAGACAGTCTTACTGTGAGACAGTCTTACTGTGAGACTGTCTTACTGTGAGACTGTCTTACTGTGAGAATGTCTTACTGTGAGAATGTCTTACTGTGAGACAGTCTTACTGTGAGACAGTCTTACTGTGAGACTGTCTTACTGCGAGACAGTCTTATTGTGAGACAGTTTTATTGCGAGACAGTTTTATTGCGAGACAGTCTTACTGCGAGACAGTCTTACTGCGAGACAGTCTTACTGCGAGACAGTCTTACTGTGAGACAGTCTTACTGTGAGACTGTCTTATTGCGAGACAGTCTTATTGTGAGACAGTTTTATTGCGAGACAGTTTTATTGCGAGACAGTCTTACTGCGAGACAGTCTTACTGCGAGACAGTCTTACTGCGAGACAGTCTTACTGTGAGACAGTCTTATTGTGAGACAGTCTTACTGTGAGACTGTCTTATTGCGAGACAGTCTTATTGCGGTCTGTCTTACTGTGAGACAGTCTTATTGCGGTCTTTCTTACTGTGAGACAGTCTTATTGCGGTCTGTCTTACTGTGAGACTGTCTTACTGTGAAACAGTCTTATTGTGAGACAGCCTCATAATAAGACTACAGAACACCAACTCTCTCTTTTACAGACTGGCCTTTAAACTGGTCTATAGACTGGTCTATAGACTGGTCTATAGACGGCGGTCTATAGACCTAAACTGGTCTATAG